ATCCTGTGTCTGGGAAGTCTCTTCCGTAGCCACCTCTTTAAGGCATGATGAGAAGCAGATATGGTTTTATGTTTTTTCCCCACTTTAGGACTCCTCCCCCTAAAAGTGCGAGAAGAAGAAGCAAAACAAAAACTAATAAAACTTTCCTTCTTTATATTCATTATCTTGCATTCCAAAATCAGAACCACTCCTACCTCTCCGAAGAGCTTCGTGCCTGCATATTAGGGCTACCTGGACTCATAACGTAGAGAACTAAAGTAAGGATAGATAATGTAACAAGTAAGAAAAGAGAAAACATTTCCCCACCAAGATTCAGAGAATACCAATCCAGAACTCACCAGAAATCAGAGAGCAGCAGAGGGATGACCTGCCGCCAGCCATGCTGATGCCCGACTGCAGGCAAAGCAGACTTATAAGGAGACTGGCCGCCAAGATCCGCCCCCACAAGAGGACAGTGAACCACGCACCCCCTGGATCACCTGATCACACACACGGCCGCAGGACCTGGAAGTATGTGCTCCACACTGGAGCGCAAGCCGAACCGCCCAACCACAAGGACAGAGTCCGAGGCGGCCACCCGAGATGCGGCCACAAGAAAGATACAGACACAGGAGAGGACAGAGAGAGGAAGCGAAAAGGTAGGAAAAGAGAAAAAGAAAACCGGACTGCCAAACAAGGCAGCAGTTCAGAGTCCACTTACCAAGCCCATGAAACCGGACCAGAAGCCATTTAGGACAAAGGTCGCAAACCCTGGCACCACGGGTATGCTGCCTCAGAGGTTTTACCTCCCACAGGAGCATCCACCACCCGGGGAGCTTGTGGAGTCCACTATAGAGGTAGGAGTAAGCGCAAAATGAAAAATTCTAAAAAAAAAAAACCTTACCGCAAAAAAACTCAGTGAAGTGTCCTGAGCGAGGACAGGAAACGAACGCGTGGTAAGTGGAGCAGGGGGGGTTTTATCATCTAGTGAAGGTGGTCCTACTTGGGGTTGAGGGCGGAGCTAACCCGTGGTATGCTGACATGGGGTGAGCCAGGAAATACACACACACACACACATAATGCATTAAAACAGAGATGCACAAATCCCAGTAGCTCCATCGCCAATGCTCTTTAAAAATGACAGATGCCTCCTAACTTTTGAGTTTTTGTCTAGTCTTGGAGCTGAAAAAGTATCTGTACATATACTTGTACCAAGTACGGAACTTGGTATCTGAGCATCCCAATTACATTGTAAACAATGTCCAGAAGCATCATTCAGAATTACGAGCACTGTCCAAAAGCTCTGCTGTAATACAAAGTTAGTCAAATTGCTTTACTTTTTTGCCCAAATACTTACAATTATCATGTTTCTGAACAGCTGCTTCCAAGACTCTGTGCTCAGGTTCCCTGAACTCCCTGTCTAGTGCAAGATCACAAGGGACAGAACAGACTCCAGCAACGGTTTATCTACTGGGTTGGAGAGGGGGTCAGGGGGGAGGGAAGTAGCTTGATTTGCTTTTGTCTGTGTGTTTGTGGACACTCACAACTTACCAGCACACACAAAGGTGACTGCATAGCATCTGCTTGAGAAAGCAGTCACTCTATAACAGGAAGTGAGGACCAGTGCTCAGGGTACCGGCTGATTCTGAAGGCAACTAAAATTTTTAAATATCAAGAAGCAGCATCCATTGCGAGTGATTTCATCAGCATTTGAAATAGCTTAAAATCCTTTTGACTTTAATATCACTTTAAGGGAGATATAGTGCCAATATGAGGTGAACTGACACAGTTGGAGGAGAGCTACAGACCCAGGTCTGGTCCCTAACCTGTTCTGGGCATGGACAAACACTCAAGGAAACGTATTTGGGAGAGTAAAATGTACTCTTCCCATATTTGCTAAATATAAGTCAGAGATCATGCATAATTGGAAATAAAAGGTTTAAATAATGTTGCAATAAATTAAGCATATTAATGCAACTCTGACCTTTTTGAAAAAGTTAACAATTTGTATTAAACTGTTTTTACAAGGCGTAGATGAGGTAGATTTGGAGTAATGGATATGAAACTGTCATTAATCAAGTTGACAAACTACTAGATTCATTTTGACTCATAAGCAGTGGCCTTTCTAATGGCAGTTTATGGCACAGTTGCTCTTTGTTTGAAAGGTTATGCTATCGGGAACACATCTTGAACTTTCCTCTTACCTTTCTCTATATGAAATCTGTTCCAATGTTGCTCCGCATTAGCTGGAGAGTTAATTTTATTGTCTGACATTTTGCTGCCTTTAAGCTGCCCAACAGTGTTGCAACTGATCAATGGGTTGCTCTTTTGTGTGTGAAAAGACAAGAATATATCCTATTGTGGAAAGGTAAATGGTGATGTTTTCATGTCTGGTCAATTATCCAGCAAGTAATAATTTCCTCCATACATGAATGCCATGTTGATGTTTGCCCAGGTTTATCTGGTCTCCTTACGTTATCTAAAAGGTTCTGCAATGTTGCTGCAACTGCTTTCATCCATATATAGCCCCAGTGTGTGTCATATAAATGATGTTTAATCTGAAGCTTCTCTGGGGCAGGGACTAAAGTAAGTTGTTTTGTTCACTCTGTAAAATACTGTATGCTGACAGTATTTTGTTGAATTACTAAAATGTGTAATTTTTTTTAATTCGTCATTGGAGGCCATACAAGAAGACACTTCTTAGTCGCTGGTTATTAATGGCTATACACTAATGGATCGTTTTTTAAAATATCTGATGATTCGTTTTCCAAATTAGTGTTCAGCACCTATAGCATTTGTAATCGCTGACTGAAATACATTGTTTTAAGTAGAGTAAAGTAGGGTTAAACCCCTGTGATGGGTTTTGTTGCCATTGAGGAGATATCTGCTCCTTTCCTTCCCGGTTGATGATGGTCAGACAGAAGTCAAATTAACCCCTTCATGACTGAGGCCCTTTTTTTCAATTTTTGCACCCATGTTATATATATTCCACATTTTAGGCCTGAAAATGACATAAAACCCCCCAACATTATATATTTTCTGAATGCCAAGACCCTATAGAATAAAATGGTGGTAGTTGAAAATTTTTATGTTGCGCAATATTAGCGCAACTCCTTATTAAACCCCAAAATTTAGTGACAAATTTAATTAAATGCCCCAAAACACAACAAATTACCCATTTTTTTAATGAAATATAAAAGATGAGGTTACAACGAGTAAAACGATACCCAACATGCCCAGTTTACAGATTGCGTGCGACCGTGAAACGGCGAAAAACTGCAGTACCCCAAAAAGTCAATAAAAGACACTTTAAAAGCCCCCACAGGTCATCAATTTAGAGATACCCCAAAATACTGGCCCTAGAATTATTGCTCTCACTCCGGCGTGCGCGGCGATACCCAACATGTGTAGCGCGTTCGTCGTTTTCATGCGTAGGCGCACCCGACGCGTGTTTATGTGGCGACGCGCGTGCTCGCGAGGGCGGGGGACTTTACAATAAAGTCACCGGGAGTCTGTTTAAACAGCCCCGATGCTGGCGACGTACACTGTACGTCGTCAGTCACGAAGGGGTTAAATCTCTCCACGTGGACACAATCAACATTTAAATCCTGATATTGGTTTTATCCCTTTCCTGCTCTGTTCAGAAATATAATCAAGACTTGAGTGGCAATAATATGTATGGCCTTGCACCACTGCAAGTGCATAAGCTTTGTCAAGTCCAGTGCACAATGTGTACAGGTGGCAATTGGCCCTATTTATAGGGTCTGTATAATGCCATTCAGGTTACATTTGTGATTCCCTGGGTATAATTTTGCAGTTCAGGAATGAATTTGATTGGTTGGTGTGAGGTAACATGTCGTAAAAAGCAGCTCTTCTTTTAGACATTTGGCAGATTAAAGTGCATGACGAGGAAAAATAAAAAGAATGTAAATTGGCATGTACTTTAATACAGTTATTTTGTATAGGGTGATAATTTATATTGGTGTGTGTGTTACTGTTTAATTCTACATATGTAGCATTGCCTCCTTTTTGTACCCTGATATGCGATTCTCTGGTTTGCAAGTACACGTGTATTACATTTTCACAGCGCTCCGTCCTTTGTGGAAGGCAGAATTGGCTTTGTGACAACATTTGGCTTTCTGTTTGACATCTATTATTTATGAAGTCTCTGCTTTAGAGGATTTTAAAAATAAAGTTATTGAAGGACACATTGCTTCTGTATGGAAAATGATCTTTTATGGGTCATTTATGGGTCATTTACGAAATTATATGTGAAAGTTTCTATGATTTTGAGGTTGTAGGGGATATCTGATCTAGTTTCTGAGGTTTCTCAGCTGTTCATAGCTTTGTGATTTTTTTTTTTCCAGTCACTACTGCTCATACCTGCCTTGGACTTTGCAATACTGAATGAACTGCGTTCATATATTCATAAATCTAAGTATTAACGTGCATCTATCCCTGAGATTCACACTTTAGTAGGGCGCACACCAAATCATCACATTAAGCTAATAAAAATGACTTCTTGTCGTAAATAAAAAGCTGTTGACCTTAAGTTTCCTTATCGGTACTGAAGCCTAAGCTAAGAGCAAATTCTCTGGCAGTTAGGAGCATTGTGGCGGTTTTAACATTATTTGAGACTGTAAAATAATAAGTTGCAAAGAGTTGGACTGTATCCAGAGCACAGGGAGAAGATTGGCTTATTCCTACTCTATGATTTATATAGTTCCCTTAAGCTCTCATAGTCTCTGAAAGCATACAGCTAGATAACGGTAAGGTAATGGGAGCTTTTAGAGAAGGTTTCTCCATGCTTTGGGGAATTTCTCAGAGATAAACACTTTTTTTTTTTTTTTTTTTTTTATTTTTGAAGCATGTTGAAAAATTAATTAGCTGGCCATTTGTGTAAGACCGAAGATCTGGAATCTTTTCAAAATGATTCCTTGCTTTTTAGGATTAGCATTGTTTGTGCTCTGTCCTGGTTTCATATCAATGGGGATTCAATTGTGTTTTTTTTTCTGTTGCAGCATGGATCAGAGGCAAGAGGAAAGACCCTCCAACAATCGAGGTGAGGTTAAGGAAGAACTAAATGTTGATGTGTTCATAGACTTCAATGAAGAATCTTTTGAAACATTTTAAAATATAGTATTCATTTTTGTTTCGGTTTTTCAACTACAAAAGAGCTGATAATATACAAACAAGGAGCTTATGACTCCTAAAACACTAAGATTTGGTGATTGTCTATATGACAGAATAACTGGCAGCAACTAATTGAAGCACCAGAGCATAGAGACGCATTACATTATCCGAGTTACATGAGTTAACTCATCTGCAACTCCAAACTTTTTGAGATGACATATAGGGGTATCTTACAGCACAATGTATTTAGGCAATGGACACGCCCCTGCTGCGGGGACCATTACCAGAATTCTTTTTACCATTACTTTCCCTTTTTATTCTGGCTTTTTGAAATGGCAAACCAGATAATTAAGCTCAAGGTTTTATTGCAGAGTAACTCTTGTGGTAGGTAAATATGACCTTTTGTATAGATATCTGTACATTAGACCAAAAAGGGGGACAACTGAGGAGCAAAGAGGAACAGAGGGATGTGGTTCCAACTCACAGTTGAGAGGTATGGTCTGTCAGAGCAGTAAGAGTGACATTCATTCATTGCAGAGTAAGTTAAAAAATATCTAAAGCCAAGGGGTATTTTAGTTTTATATACAGTAAGGGATGGTTAAAACACCTGCCTTTTTTTTTTGGCCATCTCAATCCATAATCTACAAGGACAGTTTTTCCGTAGGTGGTGCCAAATGTTCAACCATGCTCACATTTTTTATGTAAATTAGAAGTGCGATGAGTTATGGTAAACTAGAAAGGTTTTTATAGTTCACATTTCAGGGGGCCTTCTTTGCTCCTCTTTTGGAAATAGTTTTGTACACAGTGTGATCAGTGCATTTAAAAATACCAAAAAAACCCCGGTGCAGGTGTAGCAATGTGTAACAATTACATGATAATGCTCTTAAACACAAATCTTAAATACACAGATTAACGTGCAGGATACTACAAATGTACAGGTGTCAGTGTGTCCTTCAGCTACTTAGTTGTGACACACAATCTTATACCATAATGCCAATTATTTAATCTTTTTGTTTGCGTGACAAAATACAAAATACAAACAAAATAGGATGTCCAATAAGCTTATATAGCTTTGGTCATCAGGTGTTTATAAACTTTACCCATATAGTGTATGTTACCCACCCATTGTCTCTGGACATAGTATTTGCACAACTAACTGCCAGTTGCATACAGCTTTGGTTTTAGCTAAAAACAAAAAAAGATGGTCCGTTTTCTTTCAATTTTTTTCAATTTGTTAAAATAAATTCTCTTATTGTATTTCACAATAACAATATAAAACTGCTTTTTGGTCAAATATATAAACTGGTAAAGTAGAGAAACTTCTTTTTATCATAGTCTTATGTTGCATTATATCTGTAATTACTGTTGTGACAGGCACTGCTTTAAGGATATGACGGGAAAATGCACTTACGGTAATGATTTAAAAATGGTAATTTTAACACTGCTAAGAAGTCATATTGTGCTTGTGGAAAAACTGAAGTACTTCGATTATAGCTGTATGCAGTTTTTTCTTTATTGCACTGTTGACAAATACTTGTTGCTCTATATCGCAGTGCCAACTTCTGGATTTCAATCTCTTGTGGCACTATATTCAGTCAGAGGTCATCAGGGACAATGCTACCACTAATGATTTGTATGTTGTATTCTTTGTTTTGCTTTTGTTGTACTTAAAAAAAAAAACTGTGCATAGTTTTCCAACAAAAACGCAATGTTTGTGTGTTTTTAGACAAATGTGTTTAGTAAAATAGAAGGTTAATGAACAATGAAAATAAATAATGAATCAATCTGGCCAAAACTTGAATATGAGCTTTTTGGTCAAATATAAATTAAACGTTTTAGGTAGGCCCCTGCACCACAGAGACTGTAAAATCAAATTGTAACTGCGTGGCCAACTTTAAACCACTGTGGGGGTATAGCTCAATTGGGGATCGCCTTGCCTGGGGAAAAGGTAGTGCAGACAGCAAAGTTCTTTTTCAGTTTGACTTGCAGTCCGTTTTATTTAAAAGGTTGAAATATTAAAACAAAATAAAACGGAAAACAAAGCCTTGCCTTTTAGGCTCTAACTAAACATACAGGTTTCCTCTATAAGGCGCCCATACACCTTACAACCATCGCACGACTTTCCTTAAAATTTCATACGATCTGCCCATCTTGGACAGGCAGATCGTACTTGGGATCATGATGATTGCAGTGCTGAGCGGGCAGTGTGCGCTTGCGCACACCGACCCGTGCGGCATTCGTCTTCCAAGCACGCCACCAACCTGGCGAAAATCGTACGATTTTCGGCAGGTTTTCCAGCGTGCTCGGAAGACGAAAGTCGTGCGACCTTACAGTAGAAGCGGTCACACGCTGCCCATACATCTGCCGATTATCGTACGATCAGGGGATCACCCGCAATTATTATACGATAATAGGCAGGTGTATAGGCACCTTAACAGGTGGTGAGCTTCTACCAGCCACCTCACAAAACCAAAGTATTTCCAGCAACCTTTTACTCACAAATGTTTCGAAATTGCAACTCTCAGAAGGCTGTCTGAGTCCCAGGCCAGAGCCCCATCATGCTCCAGCCTTCTCCTTTTATCTCACCTTGATAATTAATCATTAATCAAATAAACAATCCAAGTGAGAAACAAGAAATCCGAACTGGATTACCCAGACCCAAAGTCTACCCGAAAGTCTGGCCTGGATTCAGCTAGTCTTGCACATGTGAAAGAAATCTAGGGGAAATATATTGCCCCTCCATGATTTCCCCTTTATTTATGTCACACCACATATCCGTTCTAATAAGTTTTAAGACCCTGGTGGAGAGAACTCTTCCTAAACCAACTCTGTCATCATAATAAAGAGGAAAGGAACTGATGTCTGGCATTAAGTGCAGGTATCTAATGCTACTTACAGAAGTCTCCAATCCCCTATCCGTGCACCTGACTGCTGGATCCTTCTGGCAAGCATGGGCAAACAGGAATTTGCAAGGGACAGAAAGGATCTGGCAAGCCTAGGGGCTATCAGGAGGTTTCAGAGGTTTGCACGTTAGGACGGGACAGCATTCAGATAGAATGGAAGGGAGATGGGAGTATGCTGCAGAGAGGTGCCTACACTTTATACCTGACAGCAGTTTTGTTTAAGAATAGAGACCCACATATGCAGCCATTGCAATTGTGAACAAATCCCAGTGTAACTGTTGAATTTTTTTACTTATTTAAAAAAGAAAAAAGATTAAAGAAAGCGTGGGTGGACCCCGAGTGAATGGAACAGAATTGAAAACTAGTATAAAAGATGTGTTGGTATACAACCTGTCATTCCACATATTTTGCCACAGCCAGCCATGACATCACTGCCGATTATGCACATTTGTTGTCATTTGGCCCGGGACTTGCTATTGCAATTTGACAGTTGTCGGCCACATGTCAACAGATAGACGTAGCTATCTGTTTACAAAAAACAAAAAGATCCCCAGCGCACCTGCCAGCTAGCCTGCAACAAAACAAATTACCCTGTCAACAGTATGCGTTAAAAACAGAGGTTTTAGTTGCACAAACTTTTGGCCAAAAATATGTAGAAGCCACACTGCCCCGTCAAGGCACCTCTGCAAAGTGTGGTCCTAACTCTATTTATTTGAGTCTCCAAGTGTGAATTTATCAACTTCCTGCACTCGCTCCTCCTTTCCTGCCCTGCCAGGCCAGTGTTCAGATTAAGGGTCTGGTTGGGAATTTTAGGGGGACCTCCCCTTTTAAAATTCCTACCAGACCTAAAGGGCCTGGTATTACTTTTGGGGGGAATGCATGCACTTTTTTTTTTTGCTCTTTAACTTAGGGTCCCTCCTGACATTCCTACCAGACCTAAAGAGTCTGGTATAAATCGCCATTTTTTAGAAATTATTATTATTTGTGTACATTTGCGGGGAGAACAGTCTGCTTCAGCAGACCATTCTCCCAGCTTCAGCTGTGTGTTCGGCTGAATAGCCCGTACAGCAGCTCTTCGGTTCCGCTGATATGATGGGCCCTGGCAGCTGAAGTGAACCGAAGGATTAGCCGAAGCTACGGCTATATCCTTCGGCTCTTTAGTGAATAAACCCCCTAAATGTTTTCTGTAGTCAGTATCATACATGTCACCAACCTTGTAATGAGTGGGTCAGCCTATTGAAATGGAAAAAAGTAGTCAAATTGTTTAGTATCATGGTGTGCACCACATGGACCAGAGAAAGTAAAAGAGTAGATGAGACAGACTACAGTTTAAAGTCCATGGGAGTGTAACCAACCTCACTGGACATTGCTGTGAACGTTAGACAAAGACCTCAGGAAAACTTCCAAAGAGATACAAGCTATCCTCCAAGGTCAAGGTACAGTAGGATCTAATCAAACCATTTGTCACTTTTTTTTCCGTCAGTGGGCTCAAAGGTAGAAGACCCAGGAGCCAGAATGGAATTTGCTAAAATATCTATTGACAAGCTACAATGCTTCTGGAAAAAATGTTCTTTGGACATTTTGGCAAGTCAGCACTATGTTTACAGACCCAAAAAAATATGCTTTCAGAGAAAAGGATATAGTAGCTGCTGTGAAATGTGAAGGAGGCTTTATGTTTTTGGTCTGCTGCCAAACCAGCTGCTGACAAGCGAGAAGCTTTCCCATCACAGCTCAATTCAAATTTCAAGCTGCAGAGATTTTTGTCCACATTCATGATTTCTCTCACCAAGCCCTGATGCAGGGGCTGTTTTTTGACCCCCTGAAATGCATTGGCTGTTCTACTCAATTGTCCCCTGACCCAGTGGAATAAAGTTGTATCTGGCCTATTTAACTGGTGTGGCGCTTCAATTCCTACATCTACTGTGTTCACTATTAAGCCAAGGATACTGTGGAAACCCTTAGGCCAGTGATATCTGCCTATCCATTAGCCAGACTACACATATTCACATCACTTAACCACTATTGA